AACCTTGCATGTTTTTTAAACTTGTTCAATTCCTTGGATAGATCCCGGTATCTGTGGACAGAGAAGGAAAAGGAATGCCTCTGGTTCTCCCGCCAAGTATCCAACTTTAGCCCTCACTCTCTTAATTATGAGTTACTCTTTGAACCCCGGGGAGGTGGTAAATCCCAAACCACATGCTGAGGCTACGGGTTGAACCAGGAGAAGCATTCACCTAAGGATGGATAAAACACATCCTGCCTGCAGGATACCACGTCCAACCTGCCAGGTTCCCTATGACTATGAAGTAAGGTATAGGTTGTTTCCAACAACAACCAGAGAGACTTCATTTCTGGGGAAGAACATTGAGTCTTCCGAATAGCAACCTATAAAAAGAAAAAAATTGAAAACTTGAAATGATGAGTTCAGTTAAGAATCTCTTTTCCGCATTAACTGGTAGTAAATATAGTCATTCAAATCTCTCTGTTAGAAAACATCAGCGGTTTCGGCATTGGTAAGCATTCCTTTAGCAAGCCCCGTAGCTCGAAAGAAAGAAAAAAAGCTGGCAAGGGACTCACTTATGAAACATAGTTGAAAGATGTTTTTATTTTGGATCATTGTTAAGTGGTAAGGATAATGACAAGCTGGCTCTCGGAAGTAACTACAGCGTACATGTATGATGAGAATGACAATAAAAAAATAAAATAAAGAAAATGGCTAACAATATGAAAATGTTTCAAGATCTAATGTATAGTACTACATCTTTTGAAAAGAAAGAAATATTCTACCGGTAATAACCAATGAAGACTTGGGCCTATCAAGCCTGCTTTCCTCGATGAAAGCCCACAGAAGGGCCAAAAACTTAAACCCATCATCAAAGCAAGCCCAAGTCTTCATTTGTAGGACTTTCTTTGATGGTTCATGTAAGCTTGGGTCTTTCATTCGGGCCCTCTTGGGGCACCCTGTGGGCCAATGCGTATAAGCTTGGGCTTTATTAACGTGGCTCATTTGACGACTCAGTACATGGATGTCACGAGTCCATTGGCATAGAATATGGAATCTTTTCCACGTAAGCTGGTTGTACAAAGCTTGTTTGTTCATATAGGCAGTGTGATTTGGGGATCTTTTGTTTGCTCCGCAAGGTAGCCAGAGCCAGCCAGTTTTTCACTAAATAGGCATAAGAGTATTTGAACTGCAGAAAAGTAGTGCGGAGAACTAGTCAGAATTGGGCCTGCCATCCAATTCGTGACGTGGATGATCCGCCGAATCCATTGCTGACTTCACCACGATCGATTAGGTGAAACGGTTCTGCAAAGTTTGTTTGTTCATACAGGCAGCGTGGTTATAGTAGTTGCCAGCCATGCAATTCGTACTGCATGGCGAGATTCCTCTACCACTCTATAAATGGAGGCTCGATAAGTGTCTTCACTTCATCAAATTCAAATCAAAGAAATTGAGTACTTGCACGTATGGCTATGGATGCTGCAAACAGGCTTTCTGCAATTGCTGCCGAAATGGGGCAACTGCAAAATGAGATTGAAGAGCGCCGTAGAGTGCTAAACCTCTTTTTTAGGAGTGTGAGAACACTGGATCCCACCTGGAAAGAAGCGCGCATTCGCGCTGCCAGAGAGCGTATCGAGGATTTGGAGGGGAGGCAGCAAGCGCTGCGGGCGGAGCAGCAAGCACTCATAGTGCAGGCTGTCACCCACGGGCACCGGGGAGACTAGAAGAGTCCGTCGACTCTTTTTCTTTTTAGAAGGTTTCAATAAGTGTCTGTAGACGCAAAGTAGGGTGTTTTAATGCATTTCTTTGGCTTTGTTTAGTAGAGATCTACTCCGATGCTTACTGGAGTCCTATTTATGCTAACTATCTTAGTTTGGTTTTCTTTTGTATGTTTGCATGTATGGGAACCCTAGTAAAAAATGTTTACTACTTATGCTTTTAGAAAAAGAAAGACTTCTTCGTGCTGAAAATTGAGTTCTTTCCTTTTTTTCTTTCTATAGTGGAGATAGTCGCACGTAATGACAGACATATTATGAAATTGTGGTAAGAACGGGTTTCGTTCTAGTGCCCGATAAGAATATTCCAAAGCTTTTGTATGTTATCCGTTACAGATACAGAACCGTACGTGAGATTTTCATCTCATACGGCTCCTCCCTTATGTGCATAATGAAAAGCAAATCATATATCTAATAAATAATAAGAAGCTTTCAATATTCTAATTATAAATTTAGTGGTAGTGGGGCTAGTGTTTTTACAAGAAATCTCTAGCCTGCGAAAGATCTTTTTCTTTTTTTTAGTATCAAGCTGTTGATACTAGATAAAAGGTAACTCCAAAAATTGATTTGTCCCCAACGCCCCTTAATTTAAAGGAATTATAAACTTAAAAAGTTTTTTATGGTTCTACGGGTATCCAAAGTACGAACGAGATGGATGTTTGTTGTCCCAACCATTCTTTTGAATCCCGATCCCGATAAGGAAAGGGGGTAATTTCTAACAAAGTTTTAGTTTTTTCCTAGGCGTAGTGCTTCTTTTCTTCTTCTTCTATGCCGCCTATTGGTACTAGTGCAGTAGAGTTGGCCTACAATAAATAATCCATAGGTGTAACCTCAATACTAAAATCGACAATTGAAGCATCTAAGGCTGCATTAATCGGGAATACACGACAGAAGGTTTATTTACAAACCTCCCTGAAACTGAAACAAACTATCAACCAGGGCTGAATCCTCAAATAAGAAAGGAAGAAGGAGAATCAACTGATACAGGTAGGTGATTTGGTATATAACCAAAGGAAGAGCAGAGGGAAAAAACTCCTTTGCCAAAGAATCTTTTCATCCTAATTGTTTTCTTCGGTTCGTATTGTTGAATCGAAAGCAAGATTGACTGCGAACTCACTCAAGGGTTATAGGTTTTCTAATTGTTTCCTGCCCTGTGCTTTCCCGTCCTTCCTTTGAATCGATGGCATAATCAGTCTAGTACTGACGCGTGGTCTTACAAAAGCCTATGTGACTGACTTGCCATTGCCAACCGTACGCCGCGTCCTGATCCTCACGTAGCCGTAGGTCTCTCGTTCCTTTTCTCACTCGTCGATGGAACCTCACCCTCAGGCTCCAAAATAGTCGTTCTTACGCTTCCGGGGGTCTCCCTCTCTACAGTGGGGTTCTGTTTGAAGTTATGATTTAGACAACGAGTCATAGGTCTTTCTTTTATTCCCTTGGCTATTAATCACCAAGAAAAAGGCTATTCATTAGCAACAAAAAGAGTAAGACAGGGCGCAGCACTCCTGCAGTTAGAAGAAGAGCGCGGCCGCATGAAAGATTGACTGTGATGCTACGTGCATACACTGATCACTACGGAGAAGAGAAAAGATGTCATAAAGCATAGGGGAAAGCAAACATCGGCTTCCCCAAAAAACCATTGATTGGGATCGATATAACAGAGTGTGCTCGATAGTCATCACTATTATGTCCCCGAATGGAATGTATGTCACCTTTTTTCTTTCCCTTTTAGACCAACCTGCCGCGTATAGTTTAGTCGTCTCTCGAGGGTTGATTCTCCAGTTTCGGATGCGGGAAGAAGCCCTAATCTTCGAGTCAGGAGATACCTTGAGAACAGTGAAAGCAGAATCCTATTTTATTTAGTTTAGAAGAAAGAAGGCTGTCTCGTCCCTTCCCATTGTAATTGTAGGAGGGAAAGTAAAAGGAGTGATTTACAACCACCCTGCCCCTAGCCCTACCATGGAAGAAAGATATAGCCCTATAACCTGGTTTTCAGCAGATCTAGAATCTACTGCCCCTCTTTCAACAAACTTGCTTGCTATCCCAGCGCGTCTATCCTTAGTTTTCGTGTCTAGCAAGCGAGAAAACGTAACGCGCTAACGAACGCACTTACGTAGTAACCCCTACGCTTGCTGCTGGCGCTACCTTGGATACGCCAACCCAGCGAGTAAGGGAGTGAGTCTGCCCAAAGAAGCTCTTAAGAAGCGGAGTTTCACTCGACAAAAAAGGTTTGGACTGAAACCATTCTCAGACGGAATCGACTGACTTCTAGTTGCATCGGATCTAGAGATCTGTTGCCAGTTCCGATAGAAGGAAAGGAGTAAGGTTTAGGCTTTACCCAATAGTTGTTGAACTCGAGGTTGGTAATCAACTGAAGCTGCTCAGTCTTCTAGCATAGCGGAGTGAGATATATCGAAGAATGAACTTAGCCTTCAACCACGGGGTCCTTTAGGCAGCCGATTGCCCGTTTGCTTCCACTGACTTACGTCGTGAACATTTCTCCAACCCGTCAATGAAATGAAGAGAAGGGCTTTCCTCTTCGATCCCATCCTATGAGCCCTGCGAGCTCACGAGTCGTCAGTGATGGTCAGTCACTCGGAGGATTTTATCGACCGGCCTGAACTAACCGGAACGCAGCGATGAAAGGCAAAGACTAGTGTTTAGCATATAGCTAAGAGAAGACGGGGTTGTCTCTGTTACAATTAGTCCTGACTTTCCTGAAAGCTTAGTGAGGAAAATCCTCGACAGAGAGGAAGTTTTTCTTTTCATGAGAGTGACCTTTCAAAGAGACTTTTTGCGATAAGGCCCTTCTTAAAGGGATGGCTCACTCTCCTTTAAAGGTGTCCCTGCTGCACTCTAAGGATGGCATATGATTAACTAGCGCAGGAGAGAGAGTGAGCCTTGGCTTTGGCATTTCCTCGCTCAATCTCATATCAGTCAGTCGTCTTACTGTTGTCGAATAAGCTCTTAGGCAGCTATCGAATGGAGTGTGGGAAAGCGAGTAGAGGAGACCCCACCCCATTCTCTTACCCTTTAGGGGAAAGAATCATTGTTCCCCAGCTGAAGACTCACCTTAAAAATCCGTCGTGTTGCCTGTCTCTTTCTGCAATGAGTTTAGTGCCGAGATTTCCTACTCATCCGTTAGAGAGAGTGGAACTTTACTGTTCCTCGGTAGGGCTAAAGGGAGGGTGCTGGTGTTACACAACACCGCACACGAAAGCGAAGCCAGGCCTACAGCTTTCAAAGAGGGGTGAAATCAAATCCAGTTCAAAGGAAGAGCTCACAAAGACGTGGCCAAATGAGCTACCCAACAGATGACGCCATAATAAGATCTTTCTGGTACGGCAGGTTCCAATGAAGAAGAAGAGCTCAAGTCTGTCCTATGTCCTATCATCGGGCCGTAAAGCCCTCACTCCGCAAGCACTTTGATGAATCTTCTATCAGGTTTGATTTCGACCCTGATGAACCTGGCACCTTTCTTCCAGAAAGCCCCCACGGAGCGGTAACGAAAAGGCATTGGATGGGATGACTCTATCTATGGGCCCAAATGCCACTCTATTATATACGCAACCTCACTCCAGTAGCCGTCGTAGTTGAGGACAGAGCAGAGCAAGAGGACCTTGCCAATGTCTTTACCTTAAAAAAGCTGAGGCCCCAGTCCAATCGAACAAAGGCGCTAGCCAGTGTATTATAAGGGTAGTGTACTTTTTTTCCTTTTCGACAACAAGTTCTTCTTCGGCCCAGCAGCGCCAATTAAGGTTGAGTACTAGAGGATTGTGAGAGAATCTAAGTTGACTCATCCCATACCGGGCGGATCCTATCTCTTGTTATCCCTATTTCTCGGAATCTTTGAAGAAAAGAATCTCCTCAAAGCAGTTGATCCATTTTCCACCTCACCATTAGCCACTTCATTAGGGTCCCCCGCAAAAAAGCCATGGAAAATAATGCACTCTTTCCATTTCAGAAAGAGACTCCCACAAATCATAGCAACAAGCCGGATTAGTGAAAACTCTGTCAAGCCTCGCCCAAACAAAGCCCCCACTCTTGCTTATTCGACCAGGTTTTCTGCCGCAGTCAATGATGCCACAATCATTAATCATTGCATTGAATTCCTACAAAGATACAAGATTTGGAGGTCTGCCACCAAGTTTTTCAGACACATCTGAAATGGCGTTAAAATCACCCGCAACCCTCCATGGACCTTGTATGTCTTAGGACAGTAATGGAAGTTTTTCCCAAAGAATTGAATGGAGCACTTTGCATAAAGAAAGGTAAGCCTTACCAGATCAGAATTAAGGAAGCTGGTGTCGACTGTGATACACTGTTCAAAGGCGTCGACAAGCACTACATTCACTTCATGATTCCAACAGATCCATCTTTTATCATCTGCCTCTTGATTTGCCAATGAAAAGTGGAAACCAATTCTGTTGGAGAATTACTGAATCTTATTAGCATGGTAAAGAGGTTCAAGAATAGCAATCAACGATATATTATACTACACCTTCTTTATTTTCTATTTTATGTTGCCTATGCCTCTGATATTTCACAAGAGATTATTAATCATGGCTAACAATGGAAGAAGTTTAAGAAGAACGAGCCAACGCTCTAGTAATCCTTCTGGAGCTCTTAAAGTTCGATTCTTGTACTTTTACAGATGTATCTGGCTGCTCTCCTTGTAGGATTCAGAAGCTTTCTATTTCTGGGCACAGTCAGTGTTCTTGAATATCGAAGCATAAGACTTTATAGAAGAATTCCTGAAAAAAAAAAATTCCTGCAAAGCAAAGAAGTGTTTGCTTCTCTCATAGGTTCAGAGTCCTATAAGTATCCCTTAGTCTGAGCAGCTTGTTCCTTTGGAACGTTAGCATCATATCTTTGGATTTAAGTCAAACAAGGGATATATTAGACTCCATCTTGTTTATGAGTTCATGATCAGGCTGAGAGAAAATAGGCATAATAGCATAGCCTGAATACTAGAATTATCAACATTGGAATTGTTAGCAGCCAAAGATGAGTCAATGGCATCTACTATTACCTGATGAGAAGAATCCACCCTCAACTGAGAATCATGAGAAGCAGTACTGGTTGAAGGATCGGCAGAAATCTGTATGTGCTGAGAAGTCTTTTTATTATTTATTAAAATAAAAAGATTCTGCTCCGTCTGATTGTCCGCAGTCTTTTTTGGAAGATTATATGTATTCTCAAAAGATGATTGGATGGTCTTGCCCGTTGGCCTGTAGACTTGACGTGGGGGAGCTTTTCCTCCTTGACCTTGTGAAGATTTTTTCCTATAGGCATTAGAGTTAGGAGCTGACGGCTGCTGGTTGGGCTTCTCTTTGTTGGCTGCATCAGTTGTACTTGACTTTTTCGAACGAAGTTTGAAGTTTTACTTTGAATAACCTTGTTTGGAACAAGACGTGCAATATCGTTCCGTGGGGTCTTTCTCATAGACGATTTTATGCCATCTTCCTTCGTTTTTCCCATGCCTAACCAGACCCTATTAGGTTAGGCTTTTTCTTCAGAAGATCCACCTCAACGCATACCCTTGCGACACCGGGTCGAGATGGGGGTCGGACCATCCGATTAATAGCACTTTGCCTACTACGTTAGCAATAGTAGTAGTCTTGAAAAAAAAAGATCGGAAGATTCGGAAACGGAATCCACATATTAACGAATCTGAAGAGATAATCTTTGATGTACGTTGCATCTTTCAACCAAAGCTTAATGGTTTCTTCTGGAAATGTTGGAATAGATCTCAGAGTAAAAAATTTGTACATTTGAGTAATGCAAACAATCCTTTTTTTGGAGCTGACGCTCTTTTTTTTGTTGGTTCATAGTCCACACGGGGTTCTGGTCTTTTTACTTTATGTTCCGGATAAAATTGATCCCTCGATCAAGTCCTAACTAGAAATCTCTTAAGAAAAGACGAGAAATCGTTTGGATTCGAGGCGAAAGCCTTCCCCGCCGTTACGGAGTTCTTCTGCTCTAATCTCCGAAATCGAAGGACTTCATACGGGCTGAGGACTTAGTATTGATTCATGCAAAGATGCTCCTCTAAAGCTGGAATAAGGGATTGCCCACTTCACCGCCCCGAAGAGCAGTGGCTCTGTTGTTTTGCGCGCCTACGGAGAGAGACTCAAAAAGTACCGACGCTCAATCGAAAGAAAGATAAATCCACTATATGCTTAACTCATGCCCCAGGAATCCCGGGGGTACGAACTAATTTTTTACTGGAGGGAAGGCTGGGGAAAAGCATAGAGCGTGCGGGCTCAGCTCTCGCACTCCTCCCATCCGCGAAGCTGAGGCGGGAGAAAAAGCATAACTCCCCGGTCTCATAGGTTACCTTTCGATCTTCCTCCCCCGTGACGCTCCCAAATCGATCGCTATCCTTTTCTTGCTTTCTTGTTGTCTTGAATTGTTATAGAGCGGCTTTATATCAGGTATAGTTGGTAGGATGAAGTGGGATGAAGCCTTAGTGGGTATAGCAAGTGTGACGGGGAGGCGGCTCGGGCGTAGTGGGTCTGGACGCCTAGCACGAAAGAGCCTTCTCTGGTAGCGGCACTATACCTTAGTCTCTCTCTAGCTTCCAGTCTATATAAAACGTAGTTAGCAGAGGTCAGTCTGTCTGGCGTTCCCTCGCGTCAAGGGCTACTTTTGCATCGGCTCTCTCTCGTTCTCGTTAGGGAATTCCCGAGGTGAAAGCAGCTCTCTCGGAAGTAAGTTTCCCCGCTGGGACTAGTCTAAGAAACTTTCACTTGAATTGCCAAGCCTCTTGTGGTAACGCCCTTGACGAATTGCGTTCAACGTCCCTTTATGACTTTCCCGATCGGCGCCCCGGGTCGGTAGCCGGGCTCCGGGACATTACTACCACGGCGACTATCGCCCCGAGCCCAAAGAAGGAAAAAAACGAACGGACTAAAGCGAGGAGTTCATTGGCCATACATAGTTAAGGAGGATGGGGGCCAACCTCTTTCATGACCCATGGCCCCAGTGTGTCACTTGGTTAGCATTTCTAGAAAAAATGGAGACGGAGAGTCAGGCTAGTTTTTCGATAGGGAAAGAGACAGGGGAGTTGGCTGTAATGGAGACAATTCGGATGGACGATATGGATTTATTCGAGATGGTTAACCACTTTTTTAACCGTGAGAGGGAGGTCATTCAGAACCCGCTGGCTCCAGAACGGGGGGCGGCTCCAGAGGCGCTGCCGCAGGCGCCAGCACCGACTGAAGTTGCCCACCCCGCTCCCGATCAAAAAGAGCGTGCGGGACTTCGAAGGGACATTCAAACTTGAATTCGTGAGCAACTGCGCGAACATTGTGAAAAGGGGGAAGGGCGGCTGTCCGTGCACTTTCCGGAAATGACGGAAATCTAGTCCAGTGCCGCGAAGGCGATAATGTCTTACGATCTGGAGATCTCCGCGGAGACGGATACGGAAACCCCCCGCAGATGGGTAGAGAATATAAGGGGGACCCTAATCTCCTAAAACCAGTCATTAGGGAATACCGACCAAATGAGTCTGTCTGCCGCTTGATTTCATAACAGAGCCGTTATTCCCGGCTGGCATAGAAGTCTCTCGCGCGGGCGAAGGAGATGCATTTCTGGTACTGGTGGTATTGGACAAGAAAAAAGGGAATAATTTCTTTCTTCTTTCTGCCTTTCTTTCCCATGACGACTAGGAACGGGCAAATCAAAAATTTCACTTCGAATTTCGGACCTCAACATCCTGCTGCTCATGGTGTTTCACGATCAGTATTGGAAATGAACGGAGAAGTGGTGGAACGTGCGGAACCACATATTGGATCACTCCAGTGCGGCACGAAGCCGCTGATGCCGAGTCGGCTCCTATGCCGCTAGCTATGCCCTGCTTGGTCCCCCGGCACGGTGGAGGTTCCGTAGCGCGTCATGAGCACCGGGCTAAGGGGCGGTTGAGCAACTCAAGCGAACCGCCCTACCTTACTACAACATAAGGACAGAAGGGAGAAGGTTGTGAAGGTGGCCTCGTTATCCACACCTCCGGTCGGATGAATGGAGGACCGACCGACCCGGGTTTTCACGAGCGTTGGCGGGTTCTGGAGTGCCTGTCAAGGGCGCTAGCGCATACCCCGGGGTGATCATCACCACCTGCACCTCAAATCTCGGCACAGTGGAACGTGTAACCCGCCTGCTGTTCCATTCAACTACATTTGTTCCTGTAATCCATAGCCTAACAGAACGCAGCAGCGAGGGGCAACCCGCCCATACAGCCAGCGGGGAGGATGGCACTACTGGCAAAGACCGTCTGGCGAAAACGCCGCAGGCGCGAAGCGTGGTAGGCCTGCGCCGGGGGAGCATAGGGAGGAAAGGGAGCCCGGACGGTGGAAGAGCCAGGGGAGGCCGGGTCATTTGACGGAAATGGAAGGCTTTGGACTATGAACCTCTTAAAGAAGGCCCTATGGAGTAAAGGGAAGTGCATGAATTCTTGGAAAAAGAGGGAGCGAGCCTATATAAAAAATGGAATCAAGCAAATTCAATGAATAGATAGAGTCAACGGTACGACAGACAGCGCTGCCTACACGCGAATTTGCTTCCGAAGTCGAGCAGTCTCAATTTCACTACAGGATTTTAGAATGAATGCTGGGCTGGGCCACCTCGAATGGCGTGAGCCGCATGCGGGGAGACCCGCACGTACGGTTTTTAGGGGGATCTGGTCGAAAGACCGGCCGGCGCCCACCCGACTAGAGGGACTGAGAAATTAATAGAGTACAAAACTTATCTTCAAGCTTTACCTTATTCTGATCGTTCAGAGGGCGATCGCGGGGTCACTGAATGAAGTCCTCCGTTTCTTTCGGAGGTGCTGACCCGCAGCGAGGCAGAGATGACTAAGTGACATATGGAATATGGCGACGACAACAGCATGTCGTAGAAGGAGATAACAAGTGGAGCCAACGACCCACTAAGACTAACGTATCTACAACTACATCCCCGAGCGGCAGTCAAACGGGGGCGTGAATGCGAGATGCCAGCGGAATGATCGGCCGGACAGAGGCTAGGGCTCCTTCCTTCCCACCGCGTCCTTCCTTGTGTGTCGGAGATATAAAGCGAGTGCACCGGAAAAGAACGGGAACTGGGTCGATCTATTCTATGTCGAAGCATCCGAAGCATAACTGCACACTCACACGATCTTTGCCGACAGATAGGAGCATTCGGTGGAACCGGTGAACTACACTTGCTTCTGGATAGATGTGTGGGACAGAGGGCTCGTGGTACCTGCTGCCCACCCTTCCTCCTCTGCTTTGAGAACCGTGTGAACGGAGAGTGGGCAGAAGGGAAGGAGGTCCTCATACGGAGTCGCACACTTACTTGAGCAGTGCGGGAGACTGGGGAATGGGTCGAGTAAAGTCCCCTGGGGTCGGAAAAATCACAGAGACGTACTGATACGATAGGGCTTTGATTGGTATTTCTTTTTTCTTAGTGATTGTAAAGGAGGGCGCTTGGCTATGTTATAGAAAGGGAAGGCAGAGGCACCGAATGGCGAAGAGAGGCGGCTCGGCAGGGAAGGAATGGGAAATCGTCAAAGATGACTTCTTTGTTGTCGAAACGAAGGGCTAAATAGCACCAGTGATTCTCTGAGCCGGTCTGGATTTCCAACGCCTCGGGAAACTGGTCGAGATAGATGACAGCGCCTTTTCCCCCTCTTCCTTACCGGGAGGGCAATCTTCTCTTATGGCCTTCACCTCCCGCCCGGCCCGGAAATAGAGAATCCAGCCCCCTTCTGATCCATTCATTTCTGCAAGCAGGGAGGATCCAGAGCTAAGCCCCCTCCTATTCGAGGCCGGGTGGCCTTGCCCCACAAGCACCCAACCTTCTTTTTGCTCTTCCTTCGGGTTGCCTCCACGAACGCGCCACCTAGGAGCCCTACTCATATTCCAAAGGCGCTACTTCAATTCAAGCGCAAGCCCCCTTCTATTGCATAACCTAAAAAAGCTATAAACAAAGTACCAAAGTGGTTGCGGGAACGAGACGCTTTGGTTACCAGCGAACGCTTCCAAAGGCGACCAGCTTTCAATACTAGTTGTTACCTTACGCTGCCATTTTTCTAAGATTATTGAATAGCATGGCTGGGGGCTAAGATAACTCAAATGGGAGAGCCGTGTTATGGGTGACCTTATTGCACGGTTCAGAGAGCACTTGTGTATGTGATGCAAGTGAACGTGTACGAAAAAGCTGTCGTAAAGTTTCGTTCTTCGTTCCGTCGTCGACCCTATCTATGTTTCTACGATGGCCCAAGAACACGCTCATTCTTCAGCCGTAGAGAGACTTTTGAATTGCGAGGTACCATTACGAGCTCAATATATACGAGTGTTATTCCGTGAAATAACTCGAATTTCAAATCATTCACTTGCTTTAACTACTCATGCTATGGATGTGGGAGCATCAACTCCGTTCCTGTGGGCTTTTGAGGAGCGGGAAAAATTGTTGGAATTCTATGAAAGAGTCTCGGGAGCCAGGATGCATGCCAGTTTCATACGACCAGGTGGAGTGGCACAAGATCTGCCTCTTGGCTTATGTCGAGATATTGATTCCTCCACACAACAATTTGCTTCTCGTATCGACGAATTAGAAGAGATGTCAACCGGCAACCGTATCTGGAAACAACGATTAGTGGATATTGGTACTGTCACTGCACAGCAAGCAAAGGATTGGGGATTCAGTGGTGTAATGTTAAGAGGTCGTGCGACATGAAGACATTGATAGCAATATGGGGGAAGT